ACTTCAATACCTCTCTTGGTCACCAAGTAACCCAAGAACTTTCCCGACCTCACCCCGAAAGAGCACTTAGCAGGATTCAATTTCATCCCATACTCCTTGCTTTTCACCAACATATCGTCCACATATACCTCCATGTTCCTTCCGAGTTGTTCCTTGAAAATTTTATCGACCAAACTTTGATATGTGGCACCCGCATTCTTTAGACCGAACGGCATGACCACGTAACAATAGGTCCCTCGATTTGTTACAAAACTCACCCGCTTCCTGTCTTCTCTTGCCAAGGGAATTTGATGATATCCCTGGGAGGCATCCATCAGGCTCAGCAATTCGCACCCTGCCATTGAGTCGACCAGCTGGTCGATTCTGGGCAGCGGGTATAGATCATTTGGGCACGCTTTGTTCAGGTCACGGAAATCAATGCACATCTTCCATTTTCCCTTCGCCTTCGACACCATCACCGTATTTGACAACCACTCGGGGAACTGGATTTCCTTGATATGCCCTGCTCCCAATAGCTTCTCGACCTCCTTCTCAATGATTTTGTCCATCTCCGCCCCATGGTGCCTTCTTTTTTGTTTCACCGGCCTCACACGGAGGTCGATGTTCAGCCGGTGTTCGATCACTTCCGCACTTAACCCCGTCAACTCCTCCGCTGTGTAGGCAAAAATATCAACGAACTCCCTGACTAGATCGATAAGCGTCGACCGAATAGGCTCCTCCAAGTCTTTCCCGATTCTGAACTTCCTCTCCTCATATCCCTCGATCATCTGAATCTCCTCCACCTCTCCCCCTGTCTGAATATCCATCTTCTCCTTACCCTTCTCCATTCTCTGTTTATCCTCTTTCGACCTCGACCCACCTGGTCGATTAATCCCCTCCTCCTCTGACTTGGCCTGCCTCTTCGCCAGTTGCTTATTATTGCTCACTGTCGTTTGGTAGCAGCTCCTCGAAGTGAGCTGGTCCCCGGCAATCTCCCCTACGTTTTCGCCCACTGGATATTTAATCGTCATGTGGTACGTAGATACGACCGTCTGGAATGCATTCAAGCTTGTCCGCCCCATAATGATGTTATAAGATGATTCAGCTCCTACGACCACAAACCTCACCATTCGCACCTTCCTCAGCTCTCCCACTCCCAGCGCCACTGGCAAACTCACCTCGCCCATCGGCATCACCTCTCCTCCATTAAAGCCATAGAGTGCCGTGGTCACCGGTTTCAACTCCGTATACAACTCCTTGTTAATTTGCACAAAACAGTCATAGAACATCACGTCCACCGAACTCCCGGTATCAATAAACACCCTTTTCACATCGAAGCCTGCAACCTCCACGGTTATCACCAAAGCATCATTGTGCGGCAGGACCACCCCCTCGGCATCCTCCGCCTTAAAACTTATCACCGGCATGCGAGCCGTAATCCCCACCTCCCCTCTCTTCCTCTTCACAGCTCGAGCATGCTCCTTCCTGGCCCTATTCGAGTCACCATCCGTTGGCCTACCGAAAATCATGTAAATCGTCCCTCTCTTCATCGGGGCTTCTCCTCTATGCCCTCCCTTATCGCCATCTCTCCTTGGCTTCTTACCTCGACCATCTCGACCATCTCCGCCATCTTCCCCATCTCCTCTATAACTCCTTTCCTCTGAGTCCCACCTACACCTTCTCCTTCCTTTCCCTTTCACCCTATTGTGATACACGAACTCCTTCAAATGTCCTACTCGAATCAACCTTTCAATCTCATCCTTCAAATGCCTGCAGTTCTCCGTGGTATGGCTGTAATCTCGATGAAATCGACAATATATATCCGATCTGGGCCGAGTCGGGCCTGTGGACCTTGTCTTCGGCCACGTTACATCCTCGGTCGACATCTTCTGCTCCATAGCCTCGAGCACCTCCGTCAAATCTTTCCTCAAGGGTGTAAAATTATGATACCTCTGTCTTTCGAATAACAATGGCCTTCCCTGCCACCTCGGCGACCTCCCTCTTGGTGGGGTTTGCTCCCTCTTTTGCTCTGGTCGAGCCGGCCCTTCCAGCTTCGCGAATTCTACCTCCATTTCTTCCAGATTAATATACTTCCTGCACCGTTTCAAGACCTCCTCATATGATCGAGCAGGGGTCTTTTCCAGGGAAGTTCGGCAAGGCCCTGCTCGAAGACTTCTTATCAATCCTCCCGCCTTCACCTCATCTGAAGTCGAATGCACCTCCAAACATGTCTGGTTATATCGAGCGACCTACTTCTTCAATGATTCCTTCTCCCCCTGTCTCATCACCATCAACGTCAAGTACGTTTTCTCATGCGCCACCGCGCTCGAATATTGATTGGTAAGCTTGCTGGCAAAATCCTCAAAGTCCGCAATCGACCCAGAGGGCAACTGGTGAAACCAGTCAAGGGCTCCTCCGCGTAAGGTCGATAGAAACGCCCTGCAACAAACAGAATCAGAATATCCATGTAACACAGCCATATTTTCAAAGGTCCTCACATGCCTCGACGGGTCAGAAGACCCGTCATACACCAAGTTCGTCTCCTTGAAATTATTCGACAAAGGAGCAGCGAGAATATCTCTCGAAAAGGGATGTCCTCGAGCTCTCCTCTCTGGCCTTCCCTCCACCCTCTCCTGCAACTGGCGCAACTGCTCCGCCATCCTCTCCATCGCCTGATCTCTTCCAACTCCTCCCTCTCCATAACTGGACACATCCTCATCTTGGTTCCCGGCCACCGTGGTCGGCGCAGTGGTGGCATGAGACGTGTGGCTCGTGACCTGCTGCACCGCCTGCGCCGCCGCGGCCGCCGCTATCCTCTGCATCTCCTCTCGGGTCATCGTCACCATTTGCTGACCGGGGGCTTGTGCAACTGCCTGTGGTGGCGCTCCTCCCTACGCCATCGCTCCTCCTTGCACCATCGTTGGATTTGGTGGTGGTGGCGTCGCCGCCGCAGCTGCTGCACGAGCCTCCTGGGCCCGACTGGGGCCGGCATCTCCTCCGGGGATTGCCGTCGTCACTCCCACACCTTGAAGGATAGGCGTCGGAGTGATCGGTGTCTATGATGGGCCGGAAAAACCCGGAGGAGGGCCGTGCCCCAACGGCCTGGTCGTCGTCCAAGCTTCATCGAACGTTGACTGCAAGTTTTTGGGAATTTCGTCCGCCATAGCTGAGCTTCAAACACAACTTTTTAACGAAACTCCCCACAGACGGCGCCAATAATGCAAGTGTAAGCGTCCTTGTCCGGATTGGAGTGGATCGATCTTTGTCCTCGCCGGTAGAACACCAGAAACCTGCAAGTAACTCTCACACCGGGGGTTGTGTCCGGTGAAGAGCCTCCGATGCTTAAGTCAGTATGTGTATGAGTATACTGAAATGAAGAATGAATATAATGTCTCTAAGGGAGAAAGGCTCACCCCCTTTATATAGGGGTGACATACCTGCCCTAATAGCTGCCCGGATAAGGATGAGTTGGCTGCCCAAGCTGCCCGTCCGTAATCTGACACGCCGCGCACATGTCGGAGGTGGTGCAAGGCGTTGGGAGCTGTCATAGGTGGTTATCGCTATCACCCAATACATTCTCGACACGTGTCCTCCTGCACATGGGGTAAATATTCTCCTGGAATTCAGCTGGAATCTCTCACAGGCGCTTGTGACTAGGCCGATCTGTTGAGCGTTGAGTCCGCGAGATGCTCGACCTTCTGAGGTCGATAGGATCGCTCGATCGTTTGTTTGGTCGAGCGATGGGTTGGTCGACTGTTTGACTGGTCGACAAGTTATTTTGCTCGATCTTCTCCTCGCCTGGCTCGATTCCTTCATGGTATGACCCTCTAAACCGGTTCGGCGGACCAGTTTAGCCTTGTGTATATAATATCCCATATCAGAGTAAAACCACCCCGATGGCCCTTGGCCTTATAAACGGGGATCACCAGCCAAGGCTCACGCCCTGACTGCCATACAATAATAAAGGAGACTATCCGTCGGGTACGTTCTATAGCTACGGGGATAACCGTTCGACGGCCGGTACGACTCACAACGAAGGCTACATGATTCACATGCATACTTTGATCATACAACATTTACAACATAGGAAAATTCAAATAAGACCCACCTGAAAGAACAAGAGATACGCACAAACACTATTGGGTAAGCGGCGAGATCAGCTCGTCAAACACCTACAATAAGTCAAGATACTACTTTCAGCATTTTATCTTGACCTTAGAAGAAGTATACAAATCATACTTAGTCGAACTTGATTCAACTAAGTCGTTCGTGGAGTTCTGTAGACATTGGAACACTTGGATTTACGAGCAGAAGATATTTCTGCTTCTTCCTGCCTTGTTTACGACGAGAGAGGAAAATCCTTTCTTTTTTTTTATAATGGTGATGATGGGAGATGACGAGCAGATTTTTAGTTCTCTGCTCCGAACTTGCGAGAGAGAAAGAGTCGATGATGCCGGTACGATGGAGAGGGAGAGAGAGAGATAATGAAAAGCTGCGGGAAAATATTTTTGACGAGAAGAGGAGAAATCTCTTCTATTATAATGCTATGGTTAGGCTTATAACTTGCGAAACAAGTTAGGTAACCCCCAAGGGAGGAAAACGAACCAGGTCGGGTTATAGGGTGCGGGTCTCAAGTTCCTCAGTTCATTATTAATCTGCATTCGGAGCTCGGTTCGATAAAACGTTGCGAATAAATAATTAATAGACATGCAATTATATTTATTTATATATACAATACACAATAATATTTAATATATAATTAGTAGCAATTAATCAATTAACAAGACAATAATAATTATAATAATAATAAGGTAATTAATAATATTTCTACATTTAATAGCAATTTCAGACAAATAGGCAAGTAGACATCTAAATAATAATAATAATAAAAATAGCAATTAGGTACTTAAGCAATTAATAATATCTAGATAATCAATAATATTAAAATAAATAAGCAATAATAAATATAATAAAGAATTCCAATATAATTCTCCAATAAACGGGGTGTTACACCAACAAAACTAAATCCGAAAATCTGGCAACGTGACTGTGATAGTTGGCGGTGGCTGGTGGTGGTGGGTTGGTCGTGGTGGAGGGGTGCTGGTGTTGGAAGTGGCGGCAAATGTGACGGCGGAGGGCATGGCGACGGCTGCGGCGGGCGGCGAAATCGTGGGTACTGCCTTCTGCGGACGACAGAGTTGGTTGTATGTCGGAGCCGGCTGAAGGAAGCAGACGACGGGCTGGTTTCGCCGGATCTTGCTTGGTCGCAGCAGTCTCCGGCGATGGGCTGCGATTGTGTGGTGGCGAGTGGAGGACGTGTTCGACTCTGGGAGAGAAGGTAGAGAGGACGCCGAAATTTGTGGCGGATATTGGCCGTTTGTGCGAGGGAGGAAGATGGAGAGATGGCGAGTGAGAGATACGACGGTGGTATTAGGCGGCGTGGAGAGGCGGTCGGCGTCGGCGGATGACAATATTTGGTGGCCGGCTGAATCTCCAATGGGCACTGGAGACGAGGGACAAAAATTACAGACATGAGTATGTGGGAGAGAAAGTTAGAGTTAATTGTGGTGGTGGGGCCCGTAGGTGGTTGGTGGATGATTGTATCATTGAGTAATTACCACATAACCCTTATTTAGTGGTCAAATCTTTATATTTGACCAGGAATAGTAATCTACTTACTAAATTGCCACAACAGGATTGACTACCATATTAAATTTTGACTTCATCATGATCGTTGATATGGTAGATCTTGATATAGTAGATCCATTGATGTAGATTTATTCTTGTTTCTTTCATTGTGCTCCTTATATATATATATATATTGGGTTTAACGTTTAAAAGTCAAATAAATAATTATTCATAACTTACGGGTCAATATTACTTGGCGTAAATGAAATAGTCACTTGTTTACCAGGGCTAAGTCCTGCAGGCAGAGATGTCTTGGTGCCTACTATCCAAGATCGCCGCCAGCGGGGCAACATCAAGCAGCGAAGCACTACTGTGCAATTCACGTATCTATAGTTTAATAAATATTCAACTACTTCATTTTTATGTGGATAGTTTATACAAATATAAATTCATTTTAATTAACAAAACAATATAAATTTTATAATTATACTTATTATTCACAAAGATTTTTAAATATATGATAAAATTCTAGCAAAATATTATTTTGTGGAATCACATTATAGTCAAATCGAATTTCTGAATAAAAATTTAAAAATAGCACTTATTTTGAAAGGCATATAATGTAATATATTATTAGTTACATGCACCGTACGGATTGTAAACTAATTTTAAATAGACATGTTTTGTGTAACATTGTACAATTTAAATTCCATATAACATTTTTAATAATAAATTAATATAGGTAAATTGTATTACATATTGATTTTAAAATTTAAATTTTGAAATATTATTTAATGTGAAATCAAAAATATTGAAATATTATTTAATAAACATTTTTAATTTATAATATAAATATCTATAGGATTCCGTACTACTAATATCTAATTAGAATTAACAACCAGGTAGGTTTTTTTTTTAATATATAAACATCCCAAATTGGGATGGGGGTTGAGGCTACACCCCCGATCAGAAGAGCTAAAAAGTCAATGGTCTACATCCAAGTTGAAAATACATAGAGCAACATCAAAAGCATAAAAAATAAAAAATACAAGGATCAACCAGGTAGCTTGGGAAGCTAAATGAAGCAAGCAGCCATTTTTATAAGTTATATAATGACATTGCAAAAGGGAAACACGCAATTTCAAAATACTCTCTTAGTTACTGAGGAAAACAGAAATTCAAATGTGAAAAACTGTTTACAGTCAATAAGTTATGTTTCATATATCTGTCAGGTATCCTTGTCACTTATTACAACTACAAATCAGGAGATGAAAATGAGCAAAAAGTAAAAAAGAATGGAGTGAGTCAATAATGAGTTAGCAACAAACTGAAGAAGTTTTGCAGCTAGCTTGTGAGGACACAGTCCTCCAAAAAATGGGTGAGCTGAGAAGAATACAAGTTTGGGTGATGGCGAAAATGGTCAACATGCGGAGTGGTTATGAAGTTACAAGCTCTGACCTCACGTCCGCTCTTTCTCTGATTCTCTATGAACGACTCAACATACGCTGCCGGGATAACTCTGTCAGCAGAGCTATAAATGTACAGCTGTGGACACCTCGGCTGTTTGGATTTTAACACGCTCAGGACATCACAAAGCCTCCTGTAAAATTTCAAAGAGTAATAATAATAATAATAATAAATATTTCAAGTCCAACCGAAAAAATATATATCTATATGAAAGAGGAGAGAGTGAAAGAATCCACTATGACGTAAAAAACTTATTATTAACTTGGATGTTACCGAGTGAGTTTGAAGAAAGCATCATGGTGGTTAACAAATTCAGACACAACAAGTAATATTGATTGCTGAATGCCCATATTATTCAGTTAATGAAAAAACAGCCACAAAATTGAGGTTTCAAAGAGAAAGTAAAAGGCAAATTACTGGTTAATCGAAGGCTGATTCAACACCACCCCAAATAACTTCTCCAAAATGACGAGCAGAGCTGCTTCAGTTAAAGCAGGGCTAAGTTCAACAGAGGTTCTTTCTCCAACCTTCACATCTACATCCGGTTCAAAAACAGAACCTTTTGTTGCAACACTGTTTTTCTTCAGAAAAGCAGCAGAAAATCCAGAAGCAAAAACCTAGAAGCATATACAACGCGGGTCAAACAATTTTGACCATAGTCACAAGAAAAAAGATAGTTATTATTAAGAAATGACATGACCCAAGGTGAAGAAAACTTCAACTTCAACTATTGCAAAGACATATAGGCACTTGCACTTTAAAACAACAGCATAGGCTATTTTTACTGAATGTAGATTACTGAACAAGAAATCGATTCTTAGAAAAAACATTGAATTGATTAAAGAGAAAGGAGCTTCAAAAGAAAAGGCAAAGCAAAAATGAAAAAAGGACGAAAAAAGAAGCGCTCAAACACACAGCACAGACATCTCAACATAATCGATCAAATATAGTGCAAAACAGATTGCAATTCCCATTTAGTTTATGCAGCCAGCAATGGTATACACACAGCAGAATCCAAACACAAGATTACCTGTGGATCAGGGTTATCAACAGGAGCAGAATCCACGATGCAGCCTCTAATTCTGTCCGTCAAACTAGAATCCTTCTTTTGAAACTTTTCCAATATGACTCCATATCTACAACACAAATACCGCCATCATATACGAATTGCAGTGACATCATTCTTTCTATTTCAAATCTCAATACCAAATTGCAGAAATATGAGATAATGAAGTGAAAAACACACTTACGTTAGCCACCCCGTATTACTAAATGTATGAAAGACCAAATTCTTTCCATGCTCCTCTTCCAACCACTCAGCAAGATGGTCCACCAGCAGCTCAACATCCCTCTCAGCTTTTCCACCCACTTTATACCCAATAACCTCCCACATTGGAAACGTAAATGTAATAACATGAAACCCTCTTGACGTATACCACGCAGCATATCGATTCAGGTGCTTCTGTTTAGCCCCTAACCATCCCACCAAAACAACTACCGTCCTCGATTTAGCCGACAAACAACTAGGCTTTCCAACGCTAACAGTACTAGGATCCGGCAAGTGCCATTTGTAGAGAAGGTCCGATGGCAATGCAGGTTTGATGTATGGATAGGCAGCCGGTTTAGCGGATTTTGTCAAATCGGCAGATTGGTATGAATTGAGCAAAACGAGAGATGATGAGGACACGAAAGAATGGTTGGAATTAGGGTTGAGGATTGGAGTGGGTAATAAATTGGGCATGGGAACATGAAAATTGTGTACAAAAGAGAATTGGGGCAATTTGGACTTGGAAATTAGGGAGACCCATGAGAAATCTAAATCGGTTTGTTTTAGGGGAGGAAGAGGAGGATTTGATTGTTCCAAAGATATGAAAGGGCTCAGTTTGTCTGCGGAAACTGAGGCTATTGCGAAGGCAGAGGCCGCAAGAACGGGCCTCTGCAAGAAGGAAGCCATTATTGTTTTTCTTTTTTCTTTTCTTAGAAATAAAAATTGTTATTGTTGAGCAACACAAAAAAATAAAACAAGAAATCAAGACCAATTATATATGAAGAAATCAAGACCCAATTATTATATATGATATATATGTAAAATTGAAAAATTGATGAAGCGAACAACCAAGAAATAAAACAGAGAAGAAGGTATGCAATGAAGACGAAGAACAAGGAACGCGGCGAAGAGAGTCGGATCGGGTCGGGTCGGAGTTAAATAAATACCTTTGGCTTTTTAATTCAAAAATCGGCTGTGATGTGAATAGAATGAAGGGATCACAGCCGACGGATATTGAATATCGATACCGGTGAAACTTCTTCGACGCGTTCCCAACAATGTTTTTTGTGTGCCGGAGTCATCATGTTTTATATGCTTGTGAGTGAGGGGGTGAAGAACATGTGGCGTTAGGACACGCAAGGTTGGAGTGGAATATAATTTATTTATTTATAATAATTGAGAAAAGAGAATATTCCCCAAGTTATATAGGATCTTAATTAATTGTCACCATACTCCTATCCTATGGTTCCATACTCGAATCAATTTCAATAACAAGTTTCAATGTTTTGTTTGAGAATGGGCAATTATATATAT